CCATCGCCAGTAGGTTGTAGGCCATCGCTAGTACGTTGTAGGCCATCACCAGTAGGTTGGAGGCCATCGCCAGTAGGTTGTAGGCCTTCGCTGGTAGGTTGTAGGCCATCACCAGTAAGTTGGAGGCCATCGCCAGTAGGTTGTAGGCCTTCGCTGGTACGTTGTAGGCCATCACCAGTAGGTTGGAGGCCGTCACTAGTAGGTTGTAGGCCATCGCCAGTAGGTTGGAGGCCATCGCTGGTAGGTTGCAAGGCCACCTAAGAAAACACAAGTTGTTTTGCGCTTTGTGGCCAAAGGACTCTCGCTTGATGGAGTTTGCAGTCATGGTGAACCAGCTTTTGGCCAAAAGCTCTGATTCCCGGCAATGAGCAATGAGACGGGGTGACACATAATGAGACATCGTGCTTCATCCTTGTCCTCTCAAAGGTATGTTTTGATACCGACTTTGGGGTCCGTGCCCACCCATCTGAATTTGAAAGTTAGGCTGACTGCTACGTCAAGTACGATTGCTAACGCTCTTTCAGCCCCAAACAGGTGTGTATGAGCCACAGCTGATCAATCAAGTTACCAACAACGGGGTCAAATCTCTAGTCGAGTCGAGTGTGGATTGAGGACGCCAATCGACGAAATTTGTCCGTGCGGACCTTTCATGCTCACCCGGCTTGTTGGACGATTTCTCAGACGAAGCTTTGGAATGAGAACACCTAGTAGCGTCCGATCGCTCCTAGTAGTACGGCCAGGAGCCCCCAGTAGCGAACCTTGTTCCTAGTAGTAAGGCCAGGAGCCCCTAGTAGCGTCCTTGCTCCTAGTAGCGATGCCCTTTGCTCCTAGCAGCTTCTTACGAACCATGGCATGTCACAGTTCAGTCCAAGGCCTTGATTCTTTAGAAAAGCATTCTTGCATGCATGCTACCAGCGGGACTCTGATCGCAGCAGGTGGTCATTCTGTCAGAGAAATGCGGCCTTCTTGAATGGGTGCCCAACACGAAAGGATTGCGCCAGGTCCTCAAAAAGATATGATTCCCACATCTTTGTGCGCAGTTCGTACTTTTATTGTGCATCTTGTTTGGCTTCCTCCCGGCTGCCTGCTAGACTCACTTGCCTGACCCCCTCCCTCCCTTGGAGTGCATCCCCAAGCCTAGCTTTGAACATCCAGTCAGCGTGCCTGGGATAACACACAAGCTTCACATGTCGGGTTTTCCCGTCCGTTGACGTGTGAGCTAGCTGGATTCCAGTGCAGAGTAAAGCTCTCACATACTGATTTGACACGTCGAGGAGATTTCTGAGAATGATGCCGGACAAATTCCTTCAATTATTTGACATGTTGGCAAGAAATGCAAAATGGTGAGTACGTTGTGCTTTCTGGGCGATTGAAATCAACATGCCTTTTGGATTGCGCAAGCAGAACGCAAGCAAACTCCCCTCCGTCCCAGTAGGATCTCACTGTAGTGTCCAATCCTAGTTTGTCAATTGGGCGGGAATAGCAAAAAGTTTTTGCGAAATTATTCCCACACCCTGAGTACGTTAATGTGTGGGAACATTATAAGGTTCTTTTCGCCTAGGGTGTTTTCTTTTTGTTGAAGTTTGTTTATGTTTCTATTGTTTTGTTATTTGCTGCCCTTTAAGGTCCTTGCTGAACTACTACTACGACTCACCTACCACTGCTGCTGCTGCTACTACTCCTACTCCTACTCCTGCTACTACTACTGCTACTACTACTACCACCTACTACTACTACTACTACTACTACGTTTTCTTTTACTTCTACTACTACGACGACTACGGCTACTACTCGTGTTCTTGGTGGCAGTGCTTCTTTTCAGACCCCCTCAATTTTTTGTTAGGAGGGGGGATTATTTTCTTAATTGAGATCGACCATTACGTTAAATCGTCTTCCGTTGTTTTCGAGATCACTTTTACGTGCCTTTGCTGAGGATATATCATTGATGAGCTGTGGAAAGGTCGCAAACAAGCACGCCAGAGTCTGACTGAAGTCAAGGAGATGTTCGACCGAAGCAAGGACAGGTAGACTGGGTGGAGCACAGGTAGACTACGTTTCAAACAATAGCAACTTGTTCCTAGTAGCTTCTTGTTTCTACTAGCTTCTTGTTACTACTAGTAAGGCACTTGTTACTAGTAGCGATGCACTTGTTACTAGTAGCTTCTTGTTACTAGTAGCTCTTCAGGTCATGTTCTGCACATTGCAAAGTGTGTATACCCGAGACCCTTGTCACACTTATTGTGCGTCATTTCGTGTCCATGGTGGCCAGTTGTCGTGCGATGGTAGGATTTGCATGAGACCTTTACTCGTCAAGTTCTTCCTCGACATCCACCAATGTTGCACAAGCAGGGACGCCTCAGCTGGTTTGAAGTATCAAGATCTAGATAGACTAAAAACAACCAAGAGCATGGTCATTAGTTTCAATCAAGCCTGGATTCATCAATGAGGCTGAGCAAAGTTTGGGATGTCACAAGTTTACAGCTGCAACGCTCATTCCATCCGACACATGTTTTGGAAGTTTCTTGACATTCCGCCGATAGCAGGATTCTTCTTGGTTTCTTTGATGTTTTATTGCCACACAATAGGAGCAAGGATGCTTCTAGGGGCTCCTGGCATCGCTACTAGGAACAAGAAGCTATTAGCTTATTGTTTCTACTAGCAAACATTGTTACTACTGGTAAGGCACTTATTACTACTAGCTTCTTGTTACTACTAGCTTCTTGTTACTACTAGTAAGACACTTGTTACT